AAAAAAAAAAAAAAGAAAAAAAAAAAAAAAAGAAAAAAAAAAAAAAAAAAAAAAAAAAAAAAAAAAAAAAAAAAAAAGCCAAAAAAAAAAGAGATCGAAAAAAAAAGAAGAGGATGAAAAAAAAGAAAGAGAATGAAAAAAAAAGAAAGAGAACAAAAAAAAAAGAAGACAAAAAAAGAAAAAGCAAAAAAAAACAAAAAGTGCAAAGAAAGCCTGGATCTGGCAATACAGGGTAAAACTATTCAACCTTGCATCGGCAATCAAAAAAACAGATTAAATGATTAGTTGATGCAGACCTGTGAATTTTACAGCCTGTTAATCATAGTAATTTTCATAAAAAAAACAAAGCAAAAAAAACAAAAAAAACAAAAAACGAAGCAAAGAAGCAAAAAAAAATAAAGCAGTGATCTTAGATCTGGTCGATCATAATTTACACTTTTGGGATGATAGATTGCACAACCATATTGATCATGATGACAGGTCACTATAACTAATATTCTATGCTTAAATATAATTAGTTGATTATAGGGTTTATGATTAGATTATTTGTTTTAATATAAACCTTTTTGGAGTTTAGATTATTAATATAAACTCTGGGTTTATGATAAAACTACCCTATTATTTATTACCTCTATTGGCTTGTTTCTTGAATAAGACCCAAGATACAACTATATTGATTTACTATTTTTAATATGGATATCTTTCAAATATAATACCCGATTCTTCACACAATACTCACAAACAGTGTTGTCACAGGACAGTTGTGGACAGTAAGTTTGGACACTTTGGACAATTTTGGACAATTAAATAAATTAAAATTACTCAAAATTTTATTAAAATAATCTATATTAATTTCTAAGTAAAATATGTTTAGCATATAAAAAAATATATAATTATATATTTTTTAAACAAATTTATTAATTATTAAAGCTTAAATATACTTTAGACACTTGTGGGCAATTGGATACTTGGACATTGGACAGTACCAAAAAAGCCTTTAGATAGTCAAAACGTATAACACTGCCCACAGATACTATTTAATTTTAAAAATAGAGTTCTTAAATAAGACTCCGGGTACTGTAGGCATTGAAAAATGGTATAATATGACACAGATCACTATATAAATCATATATACTTTGAATGTGACATTCATCTAAAAAAAAACTTTTTTGTACTAAGTTAATCATTTTTGTGTATTAAGTAAAACTTGTAGAGCTCATAAAGGCACATCTAATAGTAGTAAGATCATCAAAAACAGTTCAGTTATTGTTGAGATATTGCTAAAAATGATTAATTAACTATATAAAATTCTATGTAAACAAACTATTGTTTATATAGAAATTTTACATAGTCAGCCAATTGTTTTTTAGCAATATCTTGATAACTCCTGCTGCCCTCTCTATGCAATGACAAGAAATATCACAAGCTATTTGGTATTCTCCACAACAAATTGATAAGAATCGCGCCTTTGAAATTGAGGATAAGATTAAATTACCTAATACTGATTTTGCAGAAGATACTGTTGATGTTCTATTAATACTTTTAAAAGAACTTATTCCAATAAATAAAGTTGATAACGTTGTTGAGATTTGGGAACTTGTTCGTCATAGATGTACAAAAAAAAATTATGTTGTTCTTTTTAATGATAAATCTCACCTTTGTACTTGTCTTGGACTTGTCTGATGTGGTATTGTATGCCGACATTTTTTTCGCCTATTAAGAAATTCAATATGCGAAATTTCATGTAATGCTTATATCTAAATGATAGTATAAAGATAAAAAACAACGTGAACCTACCTCAATTCTTTGTCAATAATCTTTTATTGATGGTTTTCAGGAATTTACCGATACTACTATATATAATGAAACTTATCTAGAAATGACTTATAATATTGTTAATATTCCTTATGAACGTGTTTATAAATCTTTAAATCAACAAAAGGAATATGTAACGGCTAATAGACTTTCAAAAAAGTGATTCAAATGGGATTGGATGTAGGACCATCGGCAATACAAGAGTTAAACAGTTTTATGAAGGACTTTATAACAAAATACATGCCAAAGAGTAATCAAAAATTACTGCAAAGAAACTCTAAAGAAGAATCATCTCGAAGAAACTCTAAAAGAATATTATCAGCTAAAACTTATAATATGCAAAGCAGTTCTGATGAATCTGACTGTTGTGAATCTTCTGACTCAAATTATA